ATTTAAGCACAGTTTATACGAACCTTATTTAAATTTAACCAAAACCGTACTTTTTCCCAAACGGAACTCCAACGGTCAGAAAATACCCTCTCCTGCAAACCCTAGATTAAACCTAACCCCGAATCAAAACCCACCACAATTGTCTTCGATTTTCCTTCGATCTCGCTTGATTTCGAGACTAAAGACAATCTAAGAACGGATTTGCAGTATTAATCGAAGGAATTCCAAATTCGACGGCGGGAATAAGACCCGGCGGGATAGCGTAGGGCACTAAAAGCCGGAATAAGACCCAGGAGAGAAGTGACCGCCTCTCCACGAAATCCAAATTCGACGCTATCCTGACGGCTGCGTCTCCTTCTGGGTCTTATTCCGGCTTTTAGTGAACTACGAGACTGATGGTGAGGTTTTCTTATTTTAAGTAATTTTCTTTTGATATTTTTTTTTATGGGTTTTACTTCTTGACAATTGGGTGTTGTTTTAATTTGTATGAAGAATCTAGTTACTTTAGTTAGAAAATTAATTCTGGAGAATCAACTCACTCTCTTCCAAGTCTCAATCTTTGCTCTCTTTGGCACCCTTAGCCTTAGTCGTGGTAGGTTCTTTGATTATTGGCAGTAGAAATAAAGATTTTTTTCAGCCGTGGTGATTCGTGTTTGGATTCTTGTCTTCCATTTTCTGGGTATTTAGGAAGTTGATACTTTTGTAAGAAATGGATATTTTCAGAGTTTTATGTCAGATAGTGGCTTAGATCATAGACTGGTTTTCAATAATGGATAGATCATAGATGGGCAAATATTAGGGTTTCAGAGTTTGTCCTGATTTTTTCAGGGTTTCATGTGATACCAGTCACTGGTTAGTGGCTTAATTTTAGATAGTGGGCTAGATCATAGACTGGAAAATATTAGGATTTCAGTTTCCAGTACCACTAATGACTTTGTGACACGTTATTGCACGCCTAATGATTTGAAATTTTGTATCTTCCGTGATTATGTAGTAGGAAATTGGTTTCACTCACTTTCATATGAAGAACTTTAATTGACAATCCATGGATGGAAGTGTATCATGTATCAAGCTTTCGACTTGTCTATTGTGTCTATAATTTATTATATTCTGAATTTATTATTTTCGGGAAATGATATCAAAGAACCTAGAGCTCTCAGCTTGTCTAATTCAATGATTTTGTATTCCTTTTGTTTTCATGAATTGTCCATTTAAGTTTCCTTCCCTACCTTGTTTACTTTTCTTCAATTCTCCCCTTTAGTTTCTCTAATTCTAAGATTTTTTTTCCCTTTGCAGTGTTTGCTTTCTTAATTACTGCTCTATATTTAAACTGATATTTTGCATTATAACCTCACTACTACCATCTTCTGCATGTTACATTGTTCCTGTTATTTGATTATTACTTACGAGTCTTGTTGATTTGGTGTATTTTTGTGGTTTTTACCTTGATTGCAGAGAGAGGAATATATGGAGCCAAGTGGATCTTTTGGTCCAAATCATTTACTTAATATCCCTCTTTTTTATATGTTTTTTTTCATCATGAATTGTATAATTTGGCGTAGAGTAGATCCAGACTTACTTTCTATTTAATTTGCACTTGATGCACACTCAACATAGAGTTAGTTAGTGAGGTCTCAATATGCATGGCAAATAATGTCACTACATGGTTTAACTAAGATTTAAAAACCTGAGTTTGAGAGATGATATAACTACTTAAGGGATCATGACTTCTTAGAATAACCTACTGGTATCCTTAATGTGGATTGAAAAACTTTATTGTTATAAGGAGGATGGCTGTAGATTGTGGAGGTGTGCTGGATATTCTTTGTTATTACATGTTTGGGATTAGTAGACTTTATGAAGTTCGGTTACAGAAATCTAATGAACAGTTGACAATTCAAGTACATGTTAGTCTCTATTAAAGTGGTCATTTTCTTGCTAGTGATCTGGGGATTAACCACTTGTCCTGTTGCTACAATACTAAGGCTCTTAATTGTTGGGATTAGCTGGGATTGCAGTGTTTTCCTCTGCAAACCTTTCTCCAACTACATGGCGGGTATATGTTTCTGATCTCATTTAAAATTTTGAGATCTCTTTGGTATCACTTTTGCTTTTGGGTTTTTTCTGTTTTTGTTTTGGTTTTTTTCTTTAAAAAAAAAAATTAAGCATTTCTGTTTCTTTTCTTTATTTTAGATAAATAAAAATGAGTGAAAAAACTTGTGTTCTGTGGATTGTGTTAAGGAGATTAAGAATTAGCTTCTTTAGAAATTAGAAAAAGTTGATTTATTGCTACAAGTTTAAAATAAGGACTTTATACCATTAATACTATTATCTGTTATATCTTTAAAAGTTTTTTGTATTTTTTCCTTATATCACTTGATTTTTTTTGTTCATTTATTTATAGATTTCAAAGTTTTTTGATGATGAATTTTTTTTATCTTTACAATTAAATAAATGATATTAAGTAATAAGGGTTACAGTTGTATTATGTTGGTATATGCATAAAGGTAAAAAAAATGTATGAAATGAAGTTTTACCATTATAAATTACAAAATAAATAAATAAATAAATAATTGATTACTAATTTTTCCTAAGCTCATGCTACACATATTGAGATAATTCTTTAATTGGTTTGTGCCCTTTTACACTGATATATATTTGTTGTTGTAATTTAACTAAGTTTTCTATATAAATTCTTTTCAAAACCTAACAAAAAGAATGCTAAAAACTAATAATAGAACCAATCCACCAAAAATATCTTTTGAGTTTTGAGCTTTTAACTTCTTGAGGTTTTTCACTCTTTCTTTCAATCAAGTCTTCAATTTCTTAATGTCTTCTTTTTGTCTCCTTAGTGATACCAAATGTCTCTCAAAGTTTGTGACTTCATCATTAGGAGTTGGAAACCCTAATTTCAAATGAGACAATGAGACATATACCCATTGTGGAGTTGGGGTTAGGTAGGCATAAAGGAAAAATATTGTGAGCCACGCCAATCTCAATAATTTAGAATTGGACCTATTGGTATTGTGCTAGTTGACACAGTGGTATTCCTTTAATTGCTAGTGGAAGATTACTCTTTTTACAGAGAGATAGACGTGTTTGTTTAGCTTGAAAACTTGTTCATTATATTTCTTTACATCTGAATTTATTAAGTCTTAAATTCCAAATATGCGATAGGAAAAAAAAAAAAATCAAGCGTGCTGCCACTATATACAAGCACCCCTTATTGCATTAAAGTTTTTAGGGCCTGTCTGGTTTAGTTTGTGAGAGCTTTTGTTTTTTTAGTACTGTTATAAGTAATAATTTTAAATTTTTATTGGAGGGAAAATTTAAAAGTTGCTTTTAGAGATAGGAAAAAATAAGTTAAAAATGAGTAAAAATGGAATTTATAAAAAGTTTGGATTTGAAAATTTTGAGTTTTTATTGTTTGAGATCTTTTTAAAGTTAAAAAAAAAAAATAAAAATGTAAGTTTTTAGGAGAGAATTTAAACTTATGAAATATGAATAATATCAAAAAACTGATTTAAAAGCTTACCTAAACAGGCGCTTAATCTACTCGTGGTAAACTGGTAGATTGTTCTTTGAGTTTGATAACCTAGCAGAGGTTATATCTTGATCCTAACTCGGATTATTAAATCTTGGTTTATTAATTGGGCCATATATTGACATAAATAGTTAGTTGGATCATGTGCTTATTGGGACTATGATTTTCTTGTACCTATTGGATTCTTATTCTTATTAGTTGGGCCGTGTACCTTTTTTTTTTTTTATTGTTGTTTGGTTGTAAAACGTACATTTACATATTTGTTGCTCTATATTTCATGAAGCTCACTATATGAGATGAATGAAATATTATTAATAATTTACTAAAATACCTGGAAAACAAATTTTTATGTGTATTCTACTAGAGTTTCCTGTTTTATAATTTAATTTATATCAAATTATAAAATATAAATCATTGGATGAGAGAACAATCTTTAATATTCGAAAGCGTCTAATAATTTATGTTGTACGTTACATTCAATTGCAATTTTACTATTCCACTAAAGAACAAATTGAGCATCAAAATGGCCTTGGTGGTTTCTCCAAAACTGCAGAAAAGAATACTTCCCTTTCATCTTTGTCTTTCTTTGGAACAACCACCCATTTATGCTTCCTATACCTCAGCTCCTTGAAGATTTCCAAATAATCATTCAAGTCCTCCTTCAAGCAGAAGAAGCTATCGACCCAAAGCAGTCCACCTGGCCTCAGAACTCTGTCCCAATCATACAGTATGAAATCCAGCAGCACAAAATCAATCCATCCGTCTAGAAATCTCGTCGTGTGAATCAAATCCAGGGTGTTGTCGAAGAACGGCAGCCTCTGGTTTATGCTTATGTACAAAGGAATTAGTCCTCGGAGAGCTGTCATCTCATTGAACGGAGCCCCGAGATTGATCGTCGCCGATACTACTGTCACGTTGAATTCCCTCATCCTGGCTGCGAACGTTCCTGTTCCGACGCTGAAATCCAACCCAATTCTGATTTCCCCTGGCTTGATTTCCAGCACGTCAGGGATAAGAAAATCCGCTGTTTGGTTTGTTTCTGGGTCCAGATTCCCTTGCTTGATCCATCGGGGCAATTCGTGATCTGAAAGATTGAAGCAATCGGCGCATTTGAAGAAACCTTTTCCGGTGGCGTTCCCCGCCAGACAAGCGAAGTTCTTGCATTTGTATCCGCTCCACCGCACATTGCGGTCGTCGGGAAGCTTCCACAGGGACTCATTGATGCTATAGGGCTTCATGTACAGCCGCGGGGCTCTGGCGAAGCACCGCCGTCTAGGTAACGGATCGCAACCGTGCACCATTAGCTTCTGACCCAGTTTCCAGTCGTCGTTGCACATTTCACCGACGTCATATTCCATATACTCTTCGAGCTCCGACTTCATGGCAAAACAAGCATGGCCAATGCTGGTGAATGTCCCGTTGGCTCCCATGAAGTTCTGTTTTCCTAACCTGTTTGGCTTGACTCTAACATACTTCCGAATCTCTTCAATGAAAAAGTACTCGGCCGGATCGGAATTCTGTTTCTCCGGTTTTAACAGGGGATGGATTGCCGATCCTGTTTCATTCCTCTGTTGAAGATCATTCCCTTCATTTGATGTTAAAGAAACCTGCGCCGACTCGAGAAGCCCGAGAATGTCACCAAGGAAAGAAGAGTTCCGCAACAGGGTTGAGGACAGTGATTCCTCCGGTGAATTCTTCAATTCCTTCATCTCTCGCTGGATTTTGAGGATAACATTTTGAAGAGTCGTTCTGACTTGAATTTGGGTTCTGATTGGAAGGGTCTCATGGTTTGGGTGATTATTACAGAAGGAATCTGAAACAATAAAAGATCTAACAGTGGAGAATTTGGAGAGAGTGGCAATGGAGACAAGAAGAGCACAGGCAGCCAATATAAAGATAGTCTTTTGAACCCTTCCCCATTTTCCTAAAGCCTTCAGCTTTCCCATCTCTGGAATCTACCAATTATCCCCAAGATCAAGGTAATCAACTGGGGTCATGGGTTCTAAAAGATAAAGATAGTGGGAGTTTTGAGATTGGAGCCAATTTTTTATATTCTTATTGAGTACTGAGCTCCCCGTAATAAAACTTTAATCAGGAATCTCAGTTTACTTTCTTGCTTTCTTCCTGTAAATGAATTATGACACATCCCAAAGCAGCAGCAGCTAGTTTCAAGGAGTAAAAAGTCTTCAGCTTGCTTCAAAAATTAGCAAAAAGAATTTCCAAGCAACTCTTCTAATACTAATCATGAATTGAAGATCTAGAAGTTTGATCAGGGGTGGGTGAGCTCGTGAATTCAGACAAGCAGCAGAAAGTCCGGAGCTTTTGTCTCCATGCTGCTGACTTAATTCCCTACTGTGACACTCAACTTCAGAAGCTAACGCACAGAGGAAAAAGCAATTAGAATAACAACGGACAAGTAAAGTACAGATGGGTTCGTTTGCATCCTTTAATAAAAGCTAAATGAGGGATGGGGTGAAGAACCCTATTTCAACGTACATACATGAAATTGAAAATCTTAGAGAAAATAAGATGTGATTCAAACACAAAGATGAAATTCAATCCAATCCAATTTGCAGAACCAATTGAACAGAATAAAACAGGGGGAAATCAATCGAGGATTTTGCTAAGAATGTTTGAAGAGATTATGAAGAAACCAATCCAATCTAATATGAGCCATTTAATAATCTTGTTTATACATTAGTTCTTTTCTCAACAATCAAAATCACAGCTACTCTCCCCTGACCCTGACCCATATTTCTCTGTTCCTAGCTATTCAAGAAAAGAAGGAAAAATTTACAATCCCCAAAAGCACACCAGATAGAATAGAATAGAAAAGAAACCCCACGCAAAATTTCACCTCCTCCTCCGATCCGCGGCGTACTGAGATAAGGGCACGACCTCTGATAGTGGTGTGGAGAGTGGAGTGGGCAGCGGCGAGTTCCGACAGACAGGGCAAGACCCATTAAGCTTCAACCACGCATCTATGCAAGAAAGGTGAAAGTAGTGTCTGCATTCGGGCATCATCCTCAGCATCTCCAAATCCCTGTACTCGCACAGACAAATGGAGCATGTGGTGTTCCCGTTACTCCCGCAGCTGGAACCAGCAGCCGCCTGATCTTTACTGAACTGAAACTTAGGGTACGAATTTATGACTGCCTGGTTCAGTCCAACGACGACGTTTTCCTGGTCGTCATCTTCGGCAACAAAAATAATCCTCGGGAGAACGATCCCATCGGAGGAGGAAGCGGCGGTGGGGTTGTGGGAAGGGGAGCGAGAGGGGGAGGAGCGGCAGCAGATGTAAGAGGCAAGAAGGATGGTGGAGAGGAGGACGAGGCAGCCAAGGGCGATGGCGATGGAGTAACCAAGGCCTAGGTTGGTGAGGTAGTTGGGAGAGGAGGGAGTGGGGGTGGACATTTGGGGGGAGAGCCAAGGGAAGAAGAATCCATTTGGGATGAGATTAGAGAGGAAGAAGGAAAGTGGGTGGGTTCTCCAGCTGCAGCATTTAATACTGGGTTTGGAAACAGAGGGTGGCATTTAATTGTGCTGTTGCAAACTCTGATTCTTACTAGTGCGAACCGTTTTGGTTAGTGGACTTTTTTATTATATGTGCAGCTTCGTCTTAAAGTCATGGAGGTACTAAAACTAAAAGCATATTTGTGGAAATTGGTAAGAGTTTTAGGTATTTGAGGTTATTTATATTTTATAAATTTAAATATTTATTTTTTAAAATTTATATTTTTTAATTTATTTTTAATTATAAAAAGATTTTAAATAGTAAATTTTGAAAATTTTAAATTTATATTTTTTTATAATTTTTTATTCATTATTTATTTATTTTTTATTTTTAAAAGTAATTTTTAAATTTTTTTAATAAAAATTTAAACTTATCATTTATAAATACTACAAAAAAATAAAAACTCTTATAAATTTCACTAAATATGTTCTAAATATTTTTTTAAACAAAATTAATTTGCCTAAAAATATAAAAATTAAAAGTAGATATTTATTTATATATAAATTTTAATTACAAATTATATTTATATAAAATTTTAATTAATTTTTTATTTTTAACATTTAAAATTTATTATGATTTTTTAGATAAAATAATTATTTTTAATAAATATAAATAAATCTTAACTATTAAAAATAAAAAATTAATAATTAAAATTTTATATAAATGTATTACGTAAAATTTATATATAAACAAATTCATACTTAAACATTAATATTTATTTTAACACTATTTATGTAATTTTAATTAAGAAATTAATTATGTAAATTACTAAAATTAATATTTATATTTTTTACATAAATTAATTATAATAAATATAATAATCATATTCTTAGTATATATCTCTATCACAATTAAAATAATCATTATAGTGGGCCTTTTGGTTCTTTTAGGAATAAAAATGTAATAAAATTTTTTATATAATTTTATGTATATTTAATGTTTTTTTTAAATTTTATTACAACTCATAATAATGAAAATTGTATAAAAAAATATAAAAAAAAAAGTTGTTCGAGTGTCATTACCTAAATTTTATTGAGATTAATGATTTAATGTGGTTTATAAAGGAAAATCAGTATGAAATATTGGGTGAAATATGTTTTTGATATTTTATCTTCTTTACTTTTTAACCTTAGCATTATAACAGTGAAACTGAAGATATTAACAAGAAGTTTTGATTCGTTTTAAGAAATTTGAAACTCTAGCTAGCCAAAGGCAATAACACCTGGAGAAGAGATGGTCCACTTCTTAAATACGATGTAAAACTCTGAATAACTAATTTATTATGTTGCGTTGCACGTTGCTTGGCACTTATACCTGCTGCTGGTTTTTGGCAAAGTAAAGAATATGTCAATTTCTTTTTCCCTACCCTCGCCTCAATTTTTTCTTAAACCAAACTGAAAGGTACGTAGCTAAGATTAACTAATTATATAAATAAAAATAAAAATATATTATCAATTTAAATAATTCAATAAAAATTTCCTTCCAATGAAATAACCAAAACAAGATTATGATGATGATTCTATGCATTTCCTTATATTAATTTGTCTATTTTATTTTTCAGTTAAAATTCACTTGAGCCTTGCAATTTTCAGTCAATGATAAATCGAAATATCAATTTTTTAGTTTGTAAAAGTTGTCAACGACTTAAATAATTTAATAATAATTTTTTTTACTAAAAATAAAATATATTAAATTTAAATCACATAACATACTAATAAAGTGAAATAAAAAATAAAAAAAAATTATCTCTAACTGTATAACCAACAAAAAAAAAAAAAAAAAAAAAAGAAGAAAAAAGAAAGAAGTTGGCAGCCTTCAACCAGCTGAGGCAACTGAAAAATAGTATAGGATCAATTAACACATCATTGCAAATTGGCAAACCAATTTGTACTTTAATTTTAAGGATGCTTACGTTAAGTTTACCTAAGCAATTCATCATCGCGGTCTTATTCTTTTTCCTCATATTTACTCTCAATCTTAATCCTCGTTGGTCGTGGAAAAGCCATAGATCGCCGCCTAAAGTGCCCTCAGACTAGATAATCCTTCTCAACTCTTTTTGGAGTAACAAGTAATTACAATGTTAGGATGGATGAAAATCATAATATTTGACAATTAAAATAAAAATAATAAAAACCCTGTCAAAAAAATAAAAAATAAATAAAAAAAATTAAATATTTTTAATAAACTAATATGTAAAAAAATTATTTAAGGCATTTAAATAATCTTTTTTTTTTAAATTGTTCATTTACATTTTAAAAATCAAAAAAGTCTAATTATTTTTAATATATTTTATGAACATTATATAATAAAAAATAATATATTTTTTTTAAAAAAA